CTTACTACCTGTGTGCTCTGTGGGGACCACCTGGTCATACGTGAGTGAGAACTGTCACTTTGCACAACTCGTGTGAGTGAGGTGATGCCAAATTTCCAAGGGCTCCCAGACCTGGCTGTAGTGACTTGAGTTTGACTCCTGCCTACGGAACCACTGAGGGAAGAGGAGGGATGGCGCCCCCCCCCTGGCGTGAGGCCAACTTGTTCCCCTCAATCTTCATCTGTTACCCCCACCTTCCCTCCAGGGTCCGCAAGCAGGTGGTGAACATCCCATCCTTCATCGTCCGCCTGGACTCCCAGAAACACATCGACTTCTCCCTCCGCTCACCTTACGGAGGAGGACGCCCAGGCCGCGTGAAGAGGAAGAACGCCAAGAAGGGCCAGGGCGGGGCTGGAGCTGGCGAGGATGAAGAGGAGGATTAAGCCCACCCAGCCCCTCCTGGGTCTAGTTTCCCAATCAAATAATAAAAATAATCAAGAAGGTGGAATTGGTGTTTATTTGATATGCCAGCGCCTCACTGGAGGTTGGGGTGGTGGTTGTGGCAGTGTTGGAGCAAGGTGGTTTCCAGGTAAAGAGTAGTAAGTGGAGGTCATTCCTGCCTGCCCCCCTGAGACAGCAAGTCCAAGGAAACCGAAGTGAGCTGATCCAAACTAGACAATTAACTGGAAAAGCCAGTCACTAGTTTTGATTGCTGGCAAAGGGCAATGTCTAGGTGGTGGTTTTTCAATAGTGCAGTTGACCCTGAGTCACCCTGTGTACAGCAGGGCCCCGTCCTGTGCCATTCCCGTTACCTCGTGTGCATGAGGTGCTTTCACGGATTCTGCCTCACGGGAACCGGTCTGATGGCATGTCTGAAGTATAATCTCATGTTTCTAAGGTTTGTTCTGATGGTCCATGATACTTTGCATATGTAAATGAGCAATTATCGGCTTCCTGTCTACATTGTCCAGTTGTCACAGGTATAATGGGTTGATCCGTGGCTTGAGTGTTAGCAGACAAGGCTAATTTGAAAGCCACTTGAAGGTGTGATGTCACTTGGCCTGGGAAAAGCCCTGCTGGGTCTTTTTATTGCCCAGCAACCTTGTGCTTTCCCCTCCCCTTGCTTCTGGTGGTTTCTGAAGATACTCATGGTCAGGAGGAGGCTGGCTTCCCATTTTTCTCGCGTTGTGAAACCGCGTGGTGCAGCAGAGGAAGTGAACGTTTCAAAACAGCAGTGTTTCAGCACTTTGGAAGACTGCAGAAATGGCTTCTGACGACACTTCTGGGTCCTTCCACTCTGAGCTTGTTAGGAGATGAAGCCTACAGAAAGTTCTGTGTCCAGGCCTTGAGCTAGGTTGTTGGCTCTCTGGCTTGACTTGAGGCTAGTAAGGTCCTGGTGGATGGTGGAACACCAGTTGGCTGCGTGGCTGGCAGGATCTGTCAGATGGCTAATTTGGAGGAGTCAGAAACAGCTGGGTCTCAGGCTGGGTTGGGCTCAGTGTCAGTGGGGACAGGTCCCTGCAGACCTCTCCATGTAGGCAGAGCTGGGTCTTGGCTAGTGCTTAGCCAGCTCCGCATACACGCTGGGGTCCTGGGCTGCCTCTTCGGAGGAAGCCTGTCTGTTCCGTCTGAGAGTCGAATGGTTCAGCTCTGCGTATGTCACCTGGGTATCTTGAGGGGCATCCGCCTGCAGTGGGAGGATAGAGGCGGGCACAGAGTTTGGTGGGGATTTACCCATAACGTGGATTGAATTCCACCTCAGGGACCCTAGAGGGCACAGAACTGCCCCTGTGGGTTTCCAAGGCTGTAATCTGGGAGCCGAGTGTCACATCTTTTTTCAGGGCTGTGTGTGTTTATGTTGCCTACCTCTTGGTTAGCAGCCACCACTTGCTTAAGCATAGCACCACCACGACGCCTGCTGAGGAAGCCTGGGACTATGGAGAGAAACCTGACCGGCTTTTGTGACCTGCAATTCCCTAGGCAGGGCAGGAGAGATGGTCACTCCCTGCCTTGTCCTTGAGTGGTTCACCTGGGCATATGTCACTGCCTGGGGGTCTTCCTTTTCAGGACTGCTGGGGAGAGGGGAGGCTGGTCTGTTGATCACCTCACCCCCACTGGACTTTCAGTCCATGTATTTTGGGGGATTGTGAAGTTTGGAGGCATGTGAAGTTGAAATGCTTGTCAAGGGACCA